TATATTCTGCGACCTGTGTCATAAGGGTTAGGTAAATATTACATACTTGTCATTGGGGCTATTGGTCGTTTAATGATTAAGCGAATGTCATAAGTTATCGAACCCTTCGTACAATATAGTGCGAACTTTACTATAAACTAGCTGATCCCGTGCACTTCGTTTCCAGTTAAAATATGTCCAACTCTATACGACTCAAACATTGTTCAATTCGTTATTTAATATTCGGTGTATGATGTTCTAGATTTATCTTAACTTTTCTGTTGCCCAGAATAAAAATTCTGTTTCGCAGCAGTATATTATCAGGTAGGCAATCTACCTGCGGTAGATCGCGGACCCCGTGCTGTTTGTAAGTAAGTGTATGATATAACTCAAAAAATACCAAAGTTATACCAAGTTTGACGTTTTTACTTAATTCCACCTACCTATAAATCCTAACCTAACCTAACCGTACTAAAATCCGATGAATATAAAAACCAAATGTAACCCTATTTAAATTAGCGTATCTTCTTCTCATAGGTCATAGGTCTAATCTACACACCACCATTAATTTATATTATATAAGATATATTGACAAAAAATAATAATACAAATCAACAAACATGCCCGATTAACCAATAGCAACCAATATAATATAATACACCATAGAGTAAATAAAGACAACGGTATATCTAGTTCAAATCCCAGACATCAATAAATAGTTTTTGCAGTTTTTATAATTATTGGGTTGACTTTTTAAAAATGTTCTTTCGTAAAAACCTTCACCTGGGAATAACGAACATCTTAAAAAAATTTGAGACAAATCGGACCAGCCGTTCTCAATTGATGAATTGTTATACATTTTTATATATTATATAGAATATAGATTTATTAAATCATTCAAGCCCTAAATATTATTGGTATACTATACCTAGTTATTTTAATAACATTTAAGAAGACCATTTAAAACCTATAGACATGTATAACATGGTGATAATATTATCATTGATATTTAATCAATGATATTATTATCTTTACATTAAATAATGCGATCATAGTATTAAAATGAACATTTTATTGTATACTTTGCAGGTACTTACGTTTTTTTACGTCTTACGATAATTTATTTTGAATGAATTATTTAAATATTTGAATGACGAATGTAATTTCTATCAGTATAATTAGATAGGTATAGTAAGTTTAAGTTAATAATTTAAGAGATAAAAAACCTGGAATGGTGGAAACCAATGAAAGGAGATATTATACAAAATATTAAAATATACATAGAATAAAGATATTTGCGTCAAATATTTATCTTCATCCATAAAAATCATTTTTATATTACCCAATGTTACATATTACATTGAACGTTAGAATATTCCTTTGGCCTTATTCATTCATAGAAATAGAATTTCCATGAAAAGATAGCCTTCTTCAATAATTATATACGTATTACGCTTACTAAAGGACTATTAGGACCCAAAAAATTGAATGGGATTTTTCCCCAAATGGTAAAAAAAAAAAAAGGATTACGGTACTTTTTATGTATTATGTTGAGTATTTTCTATTGTTATTCCCCAAACATTCTACAAGTTAAAATTATTTTATTAGAAAATTATACTGTGTACAAAATAAATCATTACCTAGTAAAATTGCGACTTAAAAAAAAATAATCGAACAAAAAAAATTTAAAACACTAATTAGTATATGAAATAAAACAGATTTATTTATAATTGTTTTATAGGTTAGGTTAGGTTAGGTTGTTATTTTAAATTGCATAGATAATGGAATTATATTTCAACTACATAATATTATTATGTTAATTATTTAGGTATATCAATCGTTATTTATTATTTTTTGAAACCATGAAATCCATGTGAGTGAGAATATTAATATTGAAAAAATTTTAAGAATTAACTTTCTAATTTAATAATGTTTTAACACGGTACAAAACCTATCTACAACAAAATCCTATGGTTGTATTTTATATATTTTATTTTATTCAAAAACTTGAACATTTTGTTTCTCATATATTTTTTAATCACTGTTAAAACCCATATAAATTTACAAATATAATAAAAAATTTATGAGGTCATTTAAGAAATAAGAATCATAATTAATTATAATAACTAAGAGTGAACGAGTAATAAATAATAACTAATAACTATTAAGCTATATAATTTAAACATAAGTATAGTATTGAACTATCCAATTAATAATTTTTTCCATATGCATTTGTTACATAATTTAGCCTGGTTAAGTATCCATATTATATTCTAGTTGTATGTTTTTATATAATACAATAAAATAAATGTTTAGTTTAAATAAAGACATTTACAGGTTAAAGTTTTTCCACAATATATTATGTTTCATTTAATTATGTTGTCTATATTAAGTAGGTAAGTACTGTAGACAGCTAGGTCAGTTTTATGGTCGTAAGCCTCGGGCTTTGTTCATTTTAGATGTCTCTTCTGTAGTATGTTGTTTTGAGTGGGGTACTTAGGAATTCACTGTAATTTTGTTCTGATTTTTTTCTTTTGTGCAATGTAGGTAAAGTTAGTTGTGGTAATTGAAAATTTATGAAGAAATTTAGTACTGCTGTGAATAATATTTTTGTAAAATATCGTCAGTATCTATTGGTTACCTACATAATAGTATAATATTATAATAACTACTTAAATATTCATAAATCAGTCTAGGCTATCGAGACATCGAGTCGTATTATGTTATTTTATACTAATTATCGCCTTTTTAAATTATATATTTACTTAGTTAAATAAATTGTTTATTATCACGAATATAATATGTATATACATACAATATGGTGCCAAATTCATGAAACTGCTGATTTTACGAAATTGGCAGAGCAACTTCCGGTTTCAAGAGAACATTAAACAACAACGCCATTTCCTGGTACTTACTTACTTACAATCAGCAAATGTTATATTGTTGATTTCATGAATTAGGCAGAATTTGTTTTATATTTTATTCATTGACGTTGAAGTTCTTCCCCGACAGTTGCAGCATGCCAACAATTTTAAATTATTAAACAAATAAATAAAATACCAGCCAAGAAATGTTTTATCATTACTTTTAATACAAATTAATAAAAAGAAAAATGTTTAGACCGTCTCACGTACCCGTTCGGGGATCAAAAGAAAAACTTTTTTGGTTTATTTTGATTTATGTAGTTGACACAATTTTTGTTTCTAAGTCAAAAAGCTTGAAAATGAACAAGATTCCCCATAAATTGTACTTAAGGTTATTTAAAAATACACAATTTCTTTTTTTAAGCGTAAGCGTTGAACATTTTAAACCATTGCAGCATATTATTCAAACTTAAAATAACGATTTTATTTCAAACAACCATTTAGTTATTTTATTATGATACAAACAATATCAATTGCATAAACTTGAAATATATCCCATTATTATTTATTACCAATGTTATAGCCTGCTGGGGGTAATCATCAATAGTTATAGCTTACCTTAGCTCGCAGTCAACTGTATATTATACTACATATTTTGATTGAAATGCCCAACGTCACGTATATCAAGTCCGGATTAAGGATTAATTGGGCCCCGGGACACCATACACCTAGTGGGCCACCTTTCAAATTTAACTTAAAAAGAAGTTGAATAAAGTTGTATAATTTTGTACTATATAACCGTCAATCATAGTTAATAAAGACTACCATCTATGCGAAAGATGTATAGGTAGTTCAAAACTCCCATTTCATAAACTTCATCATAGAATATCAATTTTATATTTATTATAATTTAGTCATTTTTAGTGATATAAAATTAAGAAAGTTTTTACTGTCTAGTTCCTACCTATATCTACTAAAATTATTTTATTTTTGTGAAAACTGTTTTGAACGTATTAAAAAATTAATATTTTGGGGATAAAAATGGCCCCCAAAATCAATGGGCCCCGGGACCGTGCCTCTCCTGGACCCCCCTCAATCCGGGCTTGCCACGTTTATTACCTACTCCTTGCAAGTGATTCTTGGAAGGTGTGTAATATGGTAAGCAGCTCAAGTTTCAACCAGAACTGATCATGGTCGTCGAACAAAACCGATGAGCCATGACGTAATGATGTGTATGTGTGTATTATGTATAATTGTGAGTAATATTTTGTGTGAGTGATTTCATAAATAAACGGAGCTAAATAATAATAATAATAATAAAAGTAGACTGGTGTGACGTGGTGGTTGGCTACCGTCACGAATATGTGCTGCAGTGGTCAAGCATCGTCTGGCGTCACAAGATCCTGGATGGGTGACCTGAGTGGTTCTTTGCGACTCATCCTCGCCCCACTTAAACACCTATTCCTAAAATACTAATGGCCATGATAGCCATCGATGCTTAAAGTCCGATAAAAAAAAAATTAATAATAATAATATGTATAAGTATAGTAATGATCTGGCCCAACACGTAATAATAATTTGTAATATGTAACACTAAAAATAATAATAAATAATAGAGGCGGGTTTCCACTATACACGTACGCGTTCACGTGCATACAAATCCTTTGCTGTGATTGGTCGGTTATGTTAAGTTACCACACGATTAACCACGTTACCGTGTTGTTGGACATAGCTGAACATTTTTCGTGTACACGGCAAACGTGTATAGTGGAAAACCGCCTTAACTCATGGCTTTGTCAGTGAGTGGACTGACCAGCTGCCTTATAATACCTTAAACGGACACTAAATAATAATAGCATGTACGTACAATAGATCGACCTCAGCTGCTCACGAGATAATAACAATTTATGGCGCCTTTGGCCAATAAATATAAATAATAAACAATAATAGCTCTTAGGTAACGGTCAGACTATATCCGATTTCGGCCGAACTATATTCGGCCGAAATCTTCCAAATTTTCGGATCAAAATTCGGCGGTCACATTGAATACGAATGGATCCGGAAAACGTTTAATTATTATTAAATAATATTATTATTAAATACCTATGCATCATAGACGTTCAAATTTCAGTTGTGGTTTGCATTTTTGTCAGGATGGACGTGTGTGACCACATTTACTTGTTAGAAACAAGCCCTATTTTAAAGTACTTACTGTTACACGAAGAAGAAAAAAAAGTTTGGGTGAATAAAATTTATGAAGATAGGGAAAGATTTGGTGAATTCCATACTCTTTTCCCTAAACTCCTCGAGCAACCAGTAAAATTTTATGAATATATGAGAATGACACCTAAAACTTTTTTCTATATTCTTGAGAAAATTCGTTTCCAGCTCCAAAAATATTCAAACTTCCGAATTTGTATTACACCTGAAGAAAGACTAGTAGTTACATTAAGGTAAGAAGGATATCATATTGTATTGTAAATGCTTATAAAGTGAGTAATATTTTATATTATATAATATGTGATAATATTTGATAATATTTGATTATAAAAACCTAGTACCTACCTACTTTAAAAATTAAGTTTTTAAACAATATATTACCTTTGTAACAAAAAAAATCATAGGTGAAAAATTATGTATAAATTAAATATGTATGAATAATACTGAAAAAAATAACATAATTACTTAGTATAATATAAGAAAAATGAATAAAATCACCGTTTCTAAACTTGAAAACGTAAAATTATATTGTAACACTGTTCAAAAAATATATTAAGTTATAAAAAAAACCATTTACTTACTTCAAAAGATAAATTATAAAATAATATAAAACATTAAAATATATCAATAAATATGAATACTTAATAATATGTAGAACTAGCTGTAGCAAAAGTTTGATTTGGTTCTTGAATAAAACTTGCAATGAATTGGTTAGAATCATTATGTATATTAGAACATGCTTGGCTTGAATCTTCAGGACGCGGTGGCTGTAAATATCTCATATTTAAATCATTTTGATTTAATCTATTGCTGTCACATCTATCTTGCTCTTCCAAAAACAGTTGTTGCAACTTATGTCTAACTATTAATTTTCTATTATCTGGAAGTTCTTGTAAGTAAGGCACCAAACTTACCATAAAATGGAAACTTTCGTCTTCAATGATTGTTTTTTTTTTTTGCGAATTTTCATTTATTTTACTAAAATGATGTAGTTTTTGTCTTTCGATATTAAGCAAATCACTAATTGCATCATGTTTATTAGTTTTTTTTTTTTTCGTTGGTAATTGCTCATATGATGAAGAATCCATACCTATAGTTGTTTCGTGTAATTTTTCCGATGTATTAAAGTTTTCGTTTACGACGTCAATACTGTCACTTTCTGGTGAATTAATTTCCCTAGTGTTTTCTAAATCGCTTTCCAATTCATTCATCGACATTGGTGTGGGGATATTACCTATCATTTGTCTCGGTGTTTCAATATCTTTTAAGAAAGACAATGCTTCATAAAATCTCCACTTTGATGAGTTTCCTCCAGACCCAGAACCTGTTGGTTTTTTGTTCTTTTTTAATTCTTTTTTATAGGTATCTCTTAAATTTTGCCATTTGGTTTTTAATAGATCACCTAAATTATAAAATAATTAAATTATATAAAATAAAATTGTAAAAATTATGTAAACATTTATCTAAGAAATATGTTGTTACTATGATTTTTAAAAATGTAGTTAATTCTGTAACCAAAAATCTAAAAAATATACAAAACCATAGTTTTAGATTCTAAGCAGAGCGATGAATGTATTGATTTTACAATGATGATGTGGGTTTTTCTATTTTTTTTTATATCCTGTAAACAAAATTTTTACCAGAAGGAGTGCTTCGATTTCCACATTTAGTATCTTATCTTTTATAAAATTGGATAAGGTGGTATTTTAAAGATGCAATTTTTCGATTTACTCAACAGTTATTTAACGCCACGGGAAAAACCACCGAAAAATTACGAAAAAACGGGATTTCGCTGTTTACAAACATTTTCAGTTTCCAATTTTTTAAGTTTTTTTTTTTACAAATGTCAATAAAATTTTATTTGTAAAATGTACCTAATACAAGATTCTTCATAAGTTTTACTACCTTTATCAAATAAAAAATATCTACCGGAAAGTCAAATTAAATTTTTATGAGCTTTTGAAGTTCATATTTCTACAACATTGGATATTCATTCACTCGATTTTTCATGTAGAGATTTCTTTATTTTGTTGTAATTCAAAAATGAATAACTGTAGATACATAACATTTCGACTGAATGTTTATATTATCATTTTAAACTTGTTAAGAATTTTGTATTAAATTTTCAAATCTTAGATATAAAAATTTCTCTCTCAACAAAATGTGCAATTAATTTTTGTCATTTTGACAAATTTTGACCTTCCTAATGTACCTACTATAACTAAATTCTCTTTCTCAACAGAAACGATACTAAAATAGAAAATCAAAGGAAAAAAATCAATATATATACATCGCTCCATTCAAAATTTAAAATTGGCTTTTTTGAACTTTTAAAAAAAGAATTTACATCTGATTTAATTTTTATTGTTTTCTGTATTCAAAAATTAAAATTAAAAATGTTGTACTATACGTGTAAATTAGTAAGCGTATTTAAATTATATAGACACTTTTTTTTTAAAATGTATTAGAATTAAAGTTATTTTATTTATCATTTCTTTCTGTTACACTCTGTAATCTATAGGTACAACTACTATACATATAGGTGTAACAGAAAGCCACAAAAAAAAAGATGCTACTTTAACGTATGACAAAAATTGTGAAAATTATATGATTAGGTAATAAATACGTAATATAAGAAATATACTTTTATCAGCAAATTCCCAAAAATAATATTTTGAAAAAAGTTATTACTTTCTAAATTAATTTACCTACTCAAAAAAATATCGATATTGTAAAAAATTCTAAAAATTAAATTAGGTACTTGACTTAGATAAATGTTTTTATCATCAAAATTGTTCTTATAATCAAATTCACAAATTGGCCATTTCGAATTTTTCCAGAAAAATTTAAATCAAATTTTAAACTTTTTATTTTTATTAAATAGAATATTTTTTTATTATTCGTGTAACGCAGGTGACTATAAATTATATATAAAAAAAAATTCTAATTATTGATTTGAATAAATATAATTGCATCTGTCAGGTCTTCCTGTTACATCCTGTATAGTGTTTAATATGATTATATGATTTTTGGTATGATTAGGTGCTTTTTAAAGTATATAGTTAGGTTTAGATTACCAACTTACACATTTAAATTATGTTTTAGGTTTCTATCAACGGGAACTCCTTATAGATCATTGGCTTTTTCATTTCGTATGGCACATAACACGATCAGTGGAATAATTTATGAAACATGTAACACTATATGGAATGTGTTTGGACAAATACATATGCCTTTTCCAACAAAAGAAGTGTTTTACCAGATTGCTCACGATTTCGAAACACTGTGGAATTTCCCTAATTGCATCGGGTGCATTGACGGTAAACACATCCGCATAAAATGTCCCAAAAAAACTGGTTCAATGTTTTATAATTATAAAAATTATTTTTCGGTACATTTGCAAGGAGTGTGTGATGCAAAATATAAATTTATTACAGTGGATATAGGAGCATATGGAAAACAGAGTGATAGTGGTGTATTTGCTGAGTCTAATATATATAAATACCTAGAAACAAATTCCTTTAATGTACCACCCAACAGACCACTTCCAAATACAAATATTCCAATACCTTTTGTTTTATTGGGAGATCAAGGATATCCACTAAAAGAATATTTGATGCGTCCATATCCATGGACCTCAAATTTGGATCCAGAAAAAGAAATTTTCAACTATCGCCTTAGTCGAGCCAGACGTATGATAGAATGTACATTTGGTATATTAGTATCAAAGTGGAGGTGTCTAAAAACGGAACTCCAAATAAATGAAGATCACGTAGACACAATAATTAAATGTATCTGTTTATTACATAACATAATTATCGATCAGGAAGGGGTTGATGATACGCTATTTGTAAATATTCATCAAACCAATACAGAAATTGAAATATCAAGACGAAACAATCGCTCTAAAACTGTAGCGTATGCAATACGTGATAAATTCAAAGAGTATTTTAATAATATTGGAGCTGTTCATTTTCAAAATTCCTAAGTCAGTAATATGAAATAATTTAACTTAAAAATAAATAAATTATATAGACTATAGGTTAACCTTTGATTTTAACTAGGTAGTCGGGTAGATAGATACCTACCTACCTAATTTAAGACTATTAATAATTTTTAAGATTTAAAATTAGGTTAACAGTATATTATACATATTACTTACATTTTACTATTGTATGAATTATGAATAATAAAAATTAATTTTTATACTAGTGTATTTTAATTTTAATACTCACTTTTAATTTCCATTTCTGCAGCTATTTCATCCCAAAGTTTCTTAATTATTTCTCTATTGTGGTAATGTTTTGATTTTTTATTCCACAAGGCATTGCGGTCATGAACTAAACTAATTAATTTTTCCGAATCAATCATTCTGATTCAAAAATTTAGTTTAAAAAGAAAAGATACTCAAATTTAATTTTATCAAATCTGATCAAATTTAAAATATTCAATAGGTATTTTATAATCCAAAACAATTCTATATAAATAAATTATAATGGTAAAATATGGCCATTTTCGTCAATATGACGAAAATAGTTCATGCTGAAATAGACGCAGCGCATGGTGGATTCGGCCGGAAAAAACAAAATATTTTGTTTTTATCCGACGTCGGACGTATTCGGCCGAATAATTCGGACGTAATCTGACCACAACAATTACATTGCGGGATATTATTGTTTTCGGCCGAAGACGGCCGTCTTCGGCCGAACTCGATTTCGTCCGAAATCGGATATAGTCTGACCGTACCCTTACACAAACATACACAATATAAGTAAAGACGATTGGAGCCTATACACACTAAGACAGTAATAAAATATGTTGTGAGGCGCTTTTTCGCTTATACATAATATTATGAATGTACAATAAAATAAACATAGACATGACCAAAAACGTCACGACTGGAGTAAGTTTATAAGCTAATAATGTTAGTGCTTATACACGTCATATTTTCTTAGTTTTTACAAAAAAATAATTTAAGATGGGAAAAAACATCACTCTAAAAAAAAACGACAATAACAATATACTGACGACTATAATATGGTGTGGCATTTTTGTTTATTATAATAAGAACATAATATTATATTGTAAACTATAACAACTGATTATGATATTAAAAAAAGTTTGACATTTTTTTTAAAATTAAATTGCTGCCTTCACGCAATCAGCAGTATTTTTCACTTCAGAATTTTGATCTCACGTAGTAGGTAATTCATTAATAGGGTTACTGATTTCATGAAAACAATTATTTTCATACCGTTTCACGAATTATAAGAGTAACATACACATATTATATTATTAATGTATTAATGTTTGTGTTATGGTTTATTAAAAAATAAAATTCAAATATTTTTTCAAGTAGCTAAACAATTAAAACTGTATTATAATAGACAATAGTACACAATACGATAGGTATACAATAAAGGTATTAATACGCATATCATAGCGTTTTTATTTTAAAATTTGTTTTGTCAGTCCTCATTCGATAGTGAGCCAATCGTTATGCTACTTTAAATATTTTACAATTAATATATATTTTAATAATCTGCAGGTAGGTACTTCACTGGATTAAATACATTGCAAAAACAAAATAAATTCGTACGGTTATAAGAATTATATTGTAACCATTAATATCCTGCGAGGAAATAAAAACAGTAATCGAAAACTCTAACTTCACTATTCTCCAAATTACCAACGTATCTACTACAAATGTTAACAAAACTCAATTTACCTCTCTTATTAACCGATCTCAAAAAAAGATTAACACCGAGATGGTATTTTTGAAATTACATAAATTCCACACACTTGAATAAAGATAGAAGAACCACTCAAGACGCGAAACCGTCCTATGGAATACATTTTTAAGGTTATGGATATATGCACACCCTACCGCTCCACCGACGGATACCCAACTTTCATACAAAAAAAAAAAATTCCCATACGCATGAGCTACTGGTAATATCCACACAGATACCAGCATCTCCAGACTTCTCCGGACTTCATTTAACCCTAAACAATTTTATAATAATATTTTATTGCAAAATAATTCAAACGACATAAATCAATGATCACGTCTTTGATTTTTAACACTCACCTAGCACAAACAAATTACTCAAACACACACACACACAAATACATGGTTTCAATTCTCTTATCGTACTCTAATGAAACGACAATGATATTCTAAGACATTTGAAATAATTAACCGCACCATTCATGGGAAAAGTCTATAGCTAGGTATACTCCCGTGAAGTTTCGTCAGTGGGCGGATTCTTCCAAGATAGGCCTTTATAACCACATATTGAGCTTATTAGATTTCGTACAGATATTTTATAGATTGTAGCGATTGAACATTTAAAGAAAAAAAGGAAAAAAGTTTCTATGGTCAAACTCATAACGTAGTATGTATTACCCTCGCATAACTGAAAATAATAACAATAATAAATTAATTGAATAAGTCGTCGAATTGTTTAGTTTACCAAAAATCAAACAAATTAATGTAGGCACGTCCGTATCTCGAAATGGCAAGTTTCGGTGTTAAACATGACAATAATATTAATGTTTGAACGAATAATAATTATTCGATTTCCTGTATTATTGCATTGAAAACGATTATTACACCGCGGTTAAAACTCTGTGTCCTGGTTAAAGAAAAAAAGTAAAAAGTTTCTTTGGTCAAACTCATAACATAGTATGTTACCCTTGCATAACTAAAAATAATAACAATAATAAATTAATTGAATAAGTCGTCGAATTGTTTAGTTTACCAAAAATCAAATAAAGTAATGTAGGCACGTCCGTATCTCGAAATGGCAAGTTTCGGTGTTAAACATGGCAATAATATTTGTGTTTGAACGAATAATAATTATTCGATTTCCTGCATTGAAAACGATTATTACACGGTTAAAACTCTGTGGCCTGGTAACTACAATAGGTGATAGAGGAACGGACGAAGAAAATTGGCTTGCAATCAGTATCGTACACATTACACACATTACCAATATTATTGTTAGTGCTGTTATTATTATTATATTCTAATAATAATATCGTACCCGAGGTCCCTGAGACGAAGTTTTCTCGACAATGATATTCTAAGACATTTGAAAAAATTAACAGCACCATTCATGGAAAAAGTCTATAGCTAGGTATACTCCCGTGAAGTTTCGTCAGTGGGCGGATTCTTCCAATATAGGCCTTTATAACCACATATTGAGCTTATTAGATTTTGTACAGATATTTTATAGATTGTAGTGATTGTAAATTTAAAGAAAAAAAGTAAAAAGTTTCTACGGTCAAACTCATAACGTAGTATGTTACCCTCGCATAACTGAAAATAATAAATTAATTGAATAAGTCATCGAATTGTATAGTTTACCAAAAATCAAATAAAGTAATGTAGGCACGTCCGTATCTCGAAATTGCAAGTTTCGGTGTTAAACATAGCAATAATATTTGTGTTTGAACGAATAATAATTATTCGATTTCCTGCATTGAAAACGATTATTACACGGTTAAAACTCTGTGGCCTGGTAACTACAATAGGTGATGGAGGAACGGACGAAGAAAATTGGCCTGCAATCAGTATCGTACACATTACACACATTACCAATATTATTGTTAGTGCTGTTATTATTATTATATTCTAATAATAATATCGTACCCGAGGTCCCGGAGACGAAGTTTTCTCGACAATGCCTTTATACGCGCGGCGGCGTTATCTCCCCACAGACTTAATTCAAACTACTTTAATCGCCCGATCCAATTAATAATACAAGTTTCCATAACTATATATACTATATATAGGTATATGATGTATATTCACGGTGACGATGGTATTCAAAACATTTATAATAACTTGTAAAACGCGGGAATTATTGCAATACATTATAATAATATTATATCATATTATTATTATTATTATATTGTTACGTGTGTATTGTTACACATAAATGTTTTATTGCTTTGGCGCCGGGTCTCGATAACGGCGTATTATACGTATATTGTATTAATATCTAATACTATTAATGGACCGCACAAACGAACGCACAGTGTAATAATATACGCTATAATAATACTCTTATTGTGTATTGCAGTCGGGAAATTCGCGGCGGAACTCTTATAATATTATTTTAACAGCCGAAAGTTTTCCCCAAAGGGGTAACTTTTAATAAATTCCGAGTAAAACAATAACATCGTTATCGACAACGGCGGCGGCGGCGACGACTACGACACAGCGTACATGTGTAGTGCACGATATACGTGAAATGTGTACATATTATATTATTATTACAATAATGATAGTGCGGAAAATAATAATATACGCACGATAACGTCATTATAATAATATTCTTGTGGTAATCCGGGTTTATTTCAGGCGGAAATCGGCGCGCAAGGGTGTTATCAGAGTTTTTGCGCTCCGATGAAACATATTATTTTATAATGCAGCCCACAAGGGTGGAGGGAGGACTATAAGATATTATTATAATGATTATTTTTCTCGACCTATCGTAGTATTATATTATCGCCGTGACGGGGGTCACGAGTAAAATCAAAACGGGACGGAATTCCGAACGGCTGTGATCATAGACCCCGATTTTGATTTATTTGCGAGTTCTCGCAAAAAGCCTATATTATAGTGAAGATTAGTGCTATTATACTCTAGACCAGATAAGGTTATCAATATGAACGATATCGCCCGCGAAGGTGGGGCGAAGGAGTTATGCGGGGGGTGAACTTTGCCCCGTTTCATGGCTGTAGATCTAAAACCGCAGGCTGTGGCCAGTATTCACACAATTATTGTATTATCTATTATTATACTTACGGCTTATGCTTATTAAAAAGTTGAAAGTCAGCTTGAATGGTGATCGCCATACAGAATTTTGGGTACAATCTAAAATCGCGGTCGCTTATACTCCTACAGTCAGTGGAACTATTATAGAAAAACCATTAATTGCATTCATCTCCTCAGTCCTCATATCCCGTCGAGCGAGA